ACTAAAGTGTGAAGTTAGGCGGAGAGCAGAGAGATGAGGTGAAGTGAGCCTGCGATCACTTCCAACATCCATTCATGTGCAGGAGAACTGAAAAAAATACCTGCTACTTCACATGATTGTATGATGAATTGAATTAACTTCACTACATTTAGCTTCACGCCCTGGTAGGAACTGGCCAGCAACAGGATCACTAACGAGCCAAAAAAAAGGACTAATTTCTATGGCGTTGCTGCCTCCCTGGCCGGAACAGCTCAGTGCTGAAACGCTGCAAAATCTCTCTCATTACTGATTGACACTTTGTAGTTCCGACCAGTGGGGGAGCAACACTGTGGCAACAGCCGAGTATTTTTTTTGCTCCCTCTCTAGCAATTGTATCACTGGCAAGTTGTCCCCAACAGCAGGATCTCTAGCGTTTGTCTCCGGGGACAGGATCTCTAGCGTTTGTCTCCAGGGACAGGATCTCTAGTGTTTGTCTCCAGGGACAGGATCTCTAGTGTTTGTCTCCGTTGACAGGATCTCTAGTGTTTGTCTCCGGGGACAGGATCTCTAGCGCTTGTCTCTGGCAACAGGATCTCTAGCGTTTGTCTCCGTCGACAGGATCTCTAGTGTTTGTCTCCAGGGACAGGATCTCTAGCGTTTGTCTCTGGCAACAGGATCTCTAGCGTTTGTCTCCGTCGACAGGATCTCTAGTGTTTGTCTCCAGGGACACGATCTTTAGTGTTTGTCTCCGGGGACAGGATCTCTAGTGTTTGTCTCCGGGGACAGGATCTCTAGTGTTTGTCTCCGGGGACAGGATCTCTAGTGTTTGTCTCCGGTGACAGGATCTCTAGTGTTTGTCTCCGGGGACAGGATCTCTAGTGTTTGTCTCCGGGGACAGGATCTCTAGCGTTTGTCTCCGGGGACAGGATCTCTAGCGTTTGTCTCCGGCGACAGGATCTCTAGTGTTTGTCTCCGGGGACAGGATCTCTAGTGTTTGTCTCCGGGGACAGAATCTCTAGTGTTTGTCTCCGGGGATAGGATCTCTAGCGTTTGTCTCCGGCGTAGGATCTCTACTGTTTGTCTCCAGGGACAGGATCTCTAGTGTTTGTCTCCAGGGACAGGATCTCTAGTGTTTGTCTCCAGCAACAGAATCACTAGTGTGACACAGGCTGGGACAATGGATTAATATTGTTGTGTTGGTAACGTGACTGCAACCACAACACACATTATGTGTGTTGCCATTCATACTGAATGGCACCCCTGCACACCTTTCCTAACGCACTTATGTTGCACTACACCTCAATGCACAGTAATGCTATTGTGTGTTTTTGTGCTGCATTATTAAACATAATTCACTCAATAATGCCTTTTTGGTGCAATAAAGCTGACCTGTAGTACATTTTTACTGTCTCATAATTCACCTGCATCCTATGTGTGGAATGCTGCCGCTTACTATACAAATCCTCCTTTTAGTGATGCAGGATCCTTGACAGAACAATGACCTTCTAGTGCTCTGAGGGTTAACAGCAGCTTCTGTGACTGTCAAGAGCTCCTGACATTCACCCTACGCTTGACCCCCTCCCCCTCTTTTCCCCACCCTTCCTCTACCCTTCACCCATTCACAAAACGCCTCGTATTACTTTGACAGAAATCAAGGCATTTTGTGAATAGGCGAGGGGAGGACGAATGACAGGATCTCCCCTCCTCCATTCACAGAACACCCTGCATTCTGTACAAAATAATACAAGGCATTTTGTGAATGAGCGAGGGGGAGAGGATAAGCGGGCTGACGGGGGGGCGTTTTGAACAATGGGAACTCTTCACAGTCGCATTGCTTGGATATAATGCATGTATGTTGATTGCACTGCATCGATGTAAAGAGCTCTTAGCAATGCACAGAGCAGTAGCTGTTTTTGAGGGAACCAACAGCAACCAGATTTTAGCTCCCATTACTTTAGCAGAAGAGTGACCCATTGCTGATGTTTTGCTATGGGTAGCTGCATCTTCCTCTTCTCCCTTTAAATAATGTGAGCAGTCCAGTGATGCTCAGATTGAATGACACTAGGGGGTCCCTGGTTTGAATCCTGGTCAGGACACTATCTGCATGGAGTTTGCATGTTCTCCTTGTGGCTGTTTGGCTTTTCTCCAACACTGCAAATACATGCTGCTAGGTTAAATGGCTCTTACCTATGTTGAGCCTAATAAGTGTGCATATGAGATAGAGACCTTAAACCTATATATTTATTTATTAAAGGTATTTATATAACACCAACAATTCACACAGTGCTTTACATACAGAACATTCACATCAGTCCCTGACCTCAAGGAGCTTACAATCTTACAATTTCACATTCATACATACCAATTAACCTTCCAGCATGTCTTTGGAGTGTGGGAGGATACCACAGTAACCTCCAACACAGAGGAAACCCACACAAGGACGAAGAGAACATGCAAACACCTTGCAGATAGTGAACTGACCAGGATTTGAACCAAGGACCCCCAGTGCCATAAGGCAGAAGTTCTAACCGATACAATGCCCATACACAAATACACTGCAGGCTATGTATAGAAAAAATAAAAGATTCCTCCATCTAAGCTAAACAGCACATATGATAGAATCTCCCACTACGGCTATTGTATTCCAACATCTGGTGCCTGCCAATCATGAGGATGCATGAACAGTGACTGCAGCTGATTGTCCGCAGTCACTGTTCAGCTGACAAATTTCAACCCGGCAACAGTCAATTACTTAGTGGACTCAATTAGTCGTGCTAACGATCTCCGACAGGGCCGCCCTGTAGATGATTCCTGTATCTTCCAAAATTCTAAAGTCAGGCATACATGGTGTGAATTTCATCAGGGAATGGCCAAAATTTGCACAATGGGTGCCGCTGTTGCCACCCTTTCAACCAACATCCCTTGATTAGCTGATCGAAGGAAGGTTGGAAATCTTGGCTGAACAGAGCTAGCAGCCAATCAGCTGTGAGTGCCATTCTGCTATTTCGCTGGCCGCTGTCAGAATTCAATAGAAACAGCGGGGGATTGCGAGCGTCGATGGAGAAATCTGTTATATTTTCTAGGGATGCACCGATACTGGTTTTTCGGTATTGAGCACGAGTACCGATATTTTTTTTTCAGTACTCGCCAATACCAAATACTGATACCGGCATCCATGGGCCCAGATTATCAGGAAGCCGGGCGCAGGTCACAACCCACCAACTGGGTTCCTGATTGCCTGGGAAGCCGGTGTTCTATCGAAAGAACAAAAATTTGCACAATGGGTGCCGCTGTTGCCACCCTTTCAACCAACATCCCTTGATTAGCTGATCGAAGGAAGGTTGGAAATCTTGGCTGAACAGAGCTAGCAGCCAATCAGCTGTGAGTGCCATTCTGCTATTTCGCTGGCCGCTGTCAGAATTCAATAGAAACAGCGGGGGATTGCGAGCGTCGATGGAGAAATCTGTTATATTTTCTAGGGATGCACCGATACTGGTTTTTCGGTATTGAGCACGAGTACCGATATTTTTTTTTCAGTACTCGCCAATACCAAATACTGATACCGGCATCCATGGGCCCAGATTATCAGGAAGCCGGGCGCAGGACACACCCCACCAACTGGGTTCCTGATTGCCTGGGAAGCCGGTGTTCTATCGAAAGAACACCGGCTTCACGTTCAGAGGCAATCAGGAAGCCAGGCTGCCTATTAATAAGTGAAGCTGGCTTCCTAGCCAATCAGGAAGCTGGAAGGCGGGTCATAACCATGCTCCATGCTCCCTCGCGGCACTGCCGGTCAGAGGGAGATCTCCGTCTGACCCGGAGTTCCGTTATTGGGGGTATGTATCGGAACATTTGGACAAGTACTCGCCCGAAAACTCGGTATACTGGTATCGGTATCGATGCATCCCTCTCCATTTTCTTCCTTCAGCACACAGGTTAAATGAAGAAAATATATGTGTGTATACCCGGTACAGCCAGCTTTAGATTGTCAGCTCCTCTGGCGCAGGGGCTGCTGTGAGTATACTCAGTACCGCCAGCTTTAGATTGTCAGCTCCTCTGGCGCAGGGGCTGCTGTGAGTATACTCAGTACCGCCAGCTTTAGATTGTCAGCTCCTCTGGCGCAGGGGCTGCTGTGAGTATACTCAGTACCGCCAGCTTTAGATTGCCAGCTCCTCTGGCGCAGGGGCTGCTGTGAGTATACTCAGTACCGCCAGCTTTAGATTGCCAGCTCCTCTGGCGCAGGGGCTGCTGTGAGTATACTCAGTACCGCCAGCTTTAGATTGCCAGCTCCTCTGGCGCAGGGGCTGCTGTGAATATACCGGGTACGACCAGCTTTAGATTGTAAGCTCCTACGGTGCAGGGACTGCTGTGAGTATACCCGGTACGACCAGCTTTAGATTGCCAGCTCCTCCAGCGCAGGGGGCTGCTGTGAGTATACCCAGTACGACCAACTTTAGATTGTAAGCTCCTCGGTTGCAGAAGCTGCTGTGAGCATAGCCAGTACAACCAGCTTTAGATTGTCAGCTCCTCTGGCGCAGGGGCTGCTGTGAGTATACCCAGTACGACCAGCTTTAGATTGTAAGCTCCTCTGATGCAGGGGCTGCTGTGAGTATAGCCAGCACAACCAGCTTTAGATTGTCAGCTCCTCCGGCGCAGGGTCTGCTGTGAGTATACCCAGTACGACCAGCTTTAGATTGTAAGCTCCTTCGGGGTGACGTACAGTACGTTAAGCGCTGCGTAAATTTGCGGCCGCTCTATAAAAGTCTGCAATAAATAAACATCAGAGCTAGTTTTTGGAGCTGCTGAACCTTGGAGCTGCCTGCTGTGTGAAGCAGCCCCTGTACAGCTCCATTAGCAGCACATCTATCCCTACTCCCTGGTAGACGGAGGAGGAAGACAGGCAGGAGGAGGGGACACTTGCCACTGTTTAAACACATAGATCTCATTAGCTGACTGTATAGGACTGGCTGGGCTGAAATTGACATCAGCTAATACACCGCAAGCAGCACGCCGAGAGCCGGAGCCACAGTGGAGCGCTGCAAGAGTTAAAGCAGAAGAAGAAGAAGAAGAAGAATTAAAGCACATCGCTGGAATGATGCAAAAGAGACTTCCTGAGGATCTGGAATATAATAATTGCCTGGTCTCCCCTTGACTGAAACAGACACTGGCCAAAGGTACTTTTTAGGCAAATCAAATAAGAAGTGTGCTGTGCTGTGTTTGTTGTGTGTATGAAGTGTGAGTGCCGTACGTGTGCCGCAGAGCCTCTCCTCCTCCTCCCGCAGGCACCGCGCAGGTTCGCCGAAGGGTTCGCTTTCCCAGAGAGAGTTTTGTGAATGGGCACTTATTTTCCTGGGGTTCGTCTTTTCTGTAGCCAGCCACATAAGACGGGCTTGTCAGGCGTATGTTTCTCCTCCGAGGTAAGGATCTGATACAAAGGACTAAAGAGGCACCGCTGGGAGGAAAATCGGCCGCCTTACATCGAGCCGCCTAACAAAAGCGACGCACTTTTATGTATCATGGTGTCCATTAAAGCTTATTAGGGAAGAGTGCATTGAACCCAGTGGAGGTTTTTTTTTTATTTTTTATTTTTGTGTGTGTGTATTATTCACTGGAAGGATAAACATCTGAGGGGTGTAGAGAATTCTCCCGATTGTTAAGCTGTGAAAAGGCTTGGCAGGAGATACTTTGTTTCCTGTCCTATAGATCAGCATGGCACAAGGTAGCGATCAGGGGGGAAGCTGCCAATGTTTGCTGCCTGTCAATGCGCGGAGCCCACTGGGGGGCCCCCTGGCCTCTGAGAGCCCCTTCTCACTCTGTTTTTACACATACTTCAAGAGCTAACAAAGGGCTGCACACTTTTCTTCAGCGCAATCAATAGGTAGATTAAAAAAAAAAATAGAGAGAGAGATAGATCTGTTGTGTGATCTGTCACAGCCGGACAAAGAGCATCTTCAGCTGCCACTGTGGGTGATGGAAGGGACCCAGGTGATCACAAGGGGTTAATTGATTGCCTGTCCTGTCCCTGTGTGTGATCCGAGGCAGTGCTCATTTGCACACAAATACACGCACACACACACACTCCATGCACATCGCTGTCATTGTTCTGCCTGAAGAGACAGGGCTGGGTTCAAGGCCACATGTGCTGCTGTCATCGTTCACATTTCTGCTCCAAGTGCGATCCGGAGTGTCAGCTCTCCATCTGTCTGCGCTTGGCAAACGCACGCGTCTAGCAGCATCCTGCCTCCAGCCACAGCGCATGGCCGGGCTACCATTCCAGGGCTACCGGGCCAGGCCACTCTGCTAGAGCCGGGGGAGCCAGGGGAGAGCAGCAGCAGGAGGAGGCAGAACTGAGATCCCTGCCTGTGCAACATGCCTGGTGAGTCGGCTTCATTGCCATCATCATCCTGACAACTAACTAGGGGGGTGACAGCACAAATGTTCAATAGGTGGAAATGAGAGATTAGCGAAAGAGAGAGAATCTTAGATAGAATATACAGATAATGTAGATCTTCGTATATGTGTGGCAACATGCCTGGTGAGTCTCCTAGATGCCCAACTACTAGGGGAATGACAGCACTGTTCAATAGGTGGAAATGAGAGATTATGGAAAGAGAGACTCTTACATAGAATATACAGATAATGTAGATGCTGTATTAGTATGTGTATGTGAAACATGCCTGGTGAGTCTCCCAGATTGCAATGCCCAAGTACTAGGGGGGTGACAGCACTGTTCAATTGGTGTAAATTATATATGGAGAGAGAGGGAGAGGCTCGGATAGTAATATCCAAAAAACAATGTGTGTGCAACATGCCTGGTGAGTCTCTTACATATGTAGAGACAGAGAGAGAGAGACTCTCATATATTAATATACAGAAATAATGTAGATCTTAGTATTTGTGTGTGCAACATGCCTGGTGAGTCTCCTAGATTGCAATTGCCAACTGATAGGGAGATGACAACACCATAGGTATAAATATATGATATGTGTGTGTGTGTGTGTGTGTGTGTGTGTGTGTGTGTGTGTGTGTATAGCAAGAGAGAGAGAGAGAGATAGAGAGAGATAGAGAGAGAGAGAGAGAGAGAGAGAGACTCACATTCATGCAAAAATGTTTATATTAATGTGTGTGAGAATTTTCAGAGAGAGACTTGCATAATATAAAATATGTATAGCTTTGTATGTGTATGGATATATATGTGTGTGTGTATGTGTGTTTGTAGTAATATATACTTGTGAATATATTGTATTATTAATATATATTTGTATATCGAAGAGGAAATCATATATTTGCATGTGTATAAACATATTGGCTCTATAATCCATAGTATGTTATTATTATAATATTTGCTGGCAATGTTTCATGTTTTGGAGTCCTTTGCTACAAATGCATGAAGTGTGATTTCAGAATAAAGGACCATTTTCTGCTCCTCACTTTTATCATCTCCATCATGTAGGCGTTTGGTGATCACCTCTGTTTGTCTGACGATTTTACAGATAATCAGCGATTGTTTACTTTTTGTCTTTCCTGGATGAAGGGATTACAGATGAGAGATGGGGTGTCTGTATGTGAAGGTGTTTGTTTGATGTATGCTATATCTTGTGTAAAATGTTTCATATTGAAATAGAAGTAAAGAGCTTTTATCTGGTCTTGGTCTTATATCTGTTTAACTCGTTACTGGCCTTTGGTGATTTATGCTGATTAAGGTTCTTGTTCATATCTCAGCTGGGCTGTAATGTGTATTTAAAGAGCCTTTTATTTGAGCAAAATGAGATATTAAAATGTCTGCAGAAGTAGTTATGCAGTATATACTCTGGTTGGAACTGTGAATTTTTTTTCCCCCTCCAAGTCAAATATGCAGAAGAAAATATTAATGTTGGATGAGGGTCCGTTCCCCAAATTTAAGATGCGGAGCCAATAAAAACACATCTGGTTTAGCTGGAGAAGGCAAGTGGAAAGAGCATGGCTTGGGTGGAAGTGTCAGGGGACAGGATAGGCCGTGTAACACTTTCGATGCTAGTGGGCATGCGGTCTTGCTAGAGACAGGGAGTGTTCTGTGCTGTCTCCTTGCATTCCTGGATGTTGTCTGATTTCGGCAGGACATGCTGCTTTTCGGATGGAGAGCCTGTGCACAGCGCAGATGGTGTTTTGAAACACTATCTGGCTGCCAGCTTGCTGTGGCCACATTTGTGTGAAGGTATTGGCAGTTGTTTGAAGAATGTCTTTTCTTAGGGTTGATATGTGGTCACAGTGCTGGGCCGCCGTGTGTGGTTATATAGCAGTGCATGCCAGAGTGACAAGGTAGAAAAACCTCAATTGATTTTCGAGGGATGCGCGGCCAATTCCTTAATTATATATGCATAATAATGAGGCAATACTTTCCAAACACCCTTGGACCTTCTCTAAACCTTCCCCTCCTTTGTTTTTATTATTTTTTCCCCTATTTTGTATTTTGATATTTTGTTTCTTTACTATGTTTTTGTTTTTTTGTTTTAGATGTTTATATTTGCATAACATTCTCAAGTAAATCGAGAAAGGTTTGTTCACATCTAATTGTTTACCTGTGCAGTTTACCACTTGGGAAAGTGCATTTATTCTCCCACTTATGTTTGGTAAATGGGATTTTTGCGCCTTTGTGTTGGTGGTGCCCTATGGGGGGGCATGTGACTCTCTTCTCTTCCTTCCATATGACAGCACTGTTGCTTGCCATATGACCGCGCAGGCAGCCAGTACTGTCACATGGGGAAGGGGTGAGAGACCCCAGCCCTGCATCATTTCCAAGTCACTGCTTGCACAGAGCTTTTAACTTTGCTCCCGGTGGTCAAATGTTGCAGTGGTAGTGCAAAGGGAAAGGAATTATAAGCAGGAGCGTGGGCTGGTATTAAAGAGAACCTCTCACTTTGCCAAGTCAAAGTGCCACTTTAAAGCGGACCTTTTAGCAGAATGAAAATGTTCTCTTGTCTTAAAGTTTATGTTTAGAAAATGTAAATACCCTTTTATTGAGCGATTAGTTCTGCGTCCTTTCCTTTACGGTGATTATGCTTAGCTGCCTTTGACATAGGTATCAGTCACCCTCTGGCATGTCCATGTCTTACCTTCCTGGAGGTTGTATTTCTAGAAGGCCTAGAAAGTTTGTAATATTCTAATGCTCATGTTACCAATTTGCAAACAACATGAAGTGACGTTAGATCTCTGTCTGCGCATGTGTACATGTGGGCCGGCTAAAAGAAAAAGGAAGAGATAGCCGGCTATATGGCTATAGAAGATGGCAGTGCAGAATGGGAAACGTGCCAGCAGAGCTTCATCTGCCAAGAGGACAAGGCTGGATTTCATGGCATTGACATTATGTTCTTGCTTTTATAGAGGATCTCCATTGGTAGGCGCAAGCTCCTCCTTAGTGAAAAGTTTCACACAAAAAGTGAAAAGTCAGCAATTTACTATGAAATCTAGTGTTAAAATTCAGTTTATCTTATTTCGTCTCAGTTACTCACTGCAGCCATGGAACGTACACATTGACACTGGAAATGTATTTCCTAAAGCCTGTACTCTAAAGTTCTTCTCTGTGACTGTACTGGTCACAGTCAGTTTTCCAATGTACGTTTGGATCTAGTTGGTTGTTATGAAAAACTTCTGTAGGAGCCTACAGGGGTTGTGCTTGGGAATAGAGTCCTGGTATCACAAGAACATATTCTTAGATTTACAGATTACAGAAAGAAGGACGTTAGGGAGACTAGGTCAGTATAGCAGCTTCTGGATAAAAACGTGAACCACTGAGCACATAAACTCTGTTGCCTGTATGCATCTCTTTATTTTAAGTAGTTGTAAACTCTACTACCCCCTGCTAAAGCACTGTGTATCATAATTGACTACCTTTTTCTTTATGATAAAACGCTTGTTTTAAAATGTAGTGCTGCTGATCTCCTGCTGCCTGATTGCGGACACTTCCTGCCTATAGGCATGCACTCTAGGGTTTCTGATGGTGAAATGAGTGTACCATGCCTGCCTAATTTGTGTTGAAATGGCACCTCAGTGGTCTCCATTGGAAGCTTGTGTCAGGGCTATTCTCACTATCCAGTGTGTTCAGGGCACGGTTCCTTGCATGCATGATTTTGTTGTGATCACACCGCAGTGGAACACAGGGCATTGCTGTAACATGCATTCCAGTACGGGCGGACGG